ACATACCAATGGATTTGGAATAAAATGCTCGTCATTTTTTGTCATTATGAAAATTTCAATAAAATGAAAAATTAAGTTAATAAATTTTTTTTTGTTATAAACAAATTGTATTTTTTTAAATTTTTTAACACCATGTTATTGTACATAAGAAACCATTAACCTCGTCCATTAACAATTTTTTTGTATCTCTTCCCGTTTTCGAGATAGCCGTTTCGAGCCAAAACTTCAAGGGGTGGTTTCACCCCTTAAACTCGAGTTACCGCAGCTAAAAAAAAATACGTTTCGATTATTTTTGGCTGCTTTATAAGTGTACAAAGTTTCATCAAAATCGAAGCCGGACCGTTCGCGATGGTTCCTTGTGAGTAGGGCTTTCGTTAGCTTCTGTCGTTGTGAGTTGTACAATTCGCATTGCCATATTATATGATCAAGGGTTTCGCAGTTCCGATTGCATTTGCACTGGCTATCATTGATAATACCTACCCGCGCTAGTGAAGCAGTCAGGTTATAGTGATCGGAGCGCATTCTGTTAACTGTAACAATAAAGCTTCTTCCTAGTTTCAAATGGGCGAACCAGGGAACAAAGCTTTCATTAAAAAATTTTTGAAAGAATTTTTTACCCTTAAACAAACCTTGGTTTTTTATAACTTCGGAAGTACGATCTTTAGCTTGTTTTTTTAAACTTCTCAAATAAATCAGTGTAAGGAACCGCAGTAATATTTAGTGTTCATTGACGTTGTCGACTTAGCTGCCCTGTCCTCATTTTCATTGCCTTGAATTCCGATATGCGACGGAATCCAAAACAATTTAACAAAGCTGTTATGATCATTATAGATCAACAAGTTGTATTTTCTTTTGATTTCAAGGATGTATGGGTTAATTTTAATATCTACTTTGGTGCTTTCCAAGGCCTGGAACGCGCTGAGAGAGTCCGAGAATATGAGAAAACTGAGATGTTGATGTTCCAGAGCAATATCAAAAGCATCATTTAGGGCAATACATTCTGCGGTGTATACAGATGCAGATGGGTTAATGGAGCGAGTTATTTCAAGGCTAAGTTCAGGACAGATACAAGCCGAACCAACACAATTATTGAATGCTGTGTAACCCTGTACAGGATTATTAGCAACGCATATAAATGCGTAATACATTTTGAATATATAACTACATTGAGATTATCCGAATACACTTATCCATAAAGAATTATAAATTACAGAAAATCAGCTGATTTAGATTATATATATATATACAATGACTTTCTAGAAATTTGAAAATAACCATTAGCGAGGAGATACTTGGTCGAAAAAGAAAAGTATTAACCGTGTAAGGGGGGAAAAAATTTAATGAACATAGTTTAGTAATCATTTCGCTTCTGCCAACATCAAACTGTGGGCATTGCCAGATAATATGATTAGGCTCTTGTTCAGGATAGCCGCAATCACATTTGGGATCAGAGGCAAGGTTGATTTTATAGAGAAAGGACGCCAATTGTATATGGTTAGCACACAATCTGTTAACAAAGGTAATAAATTTTCTGGGAAGAGATTTGTGTGTGAACCATGGGACCGACAGAGAATTATAATACCTTTCAAAATACTGTGAGCCTTTATAAGTGGCCTGTACGAATAAACAACTTTCAGTTTTGGACTTAGCTGACCTTCTAAAGTTCTGGGAGAAGTCTGAGTGTGGGACTAAAATGTCACTCCGAGCGGAAAGATTAGAAGCTTCCTTTGCCAGTTTATCTACTTCCTCATTAAAACAAATACCAGAGTGAGCCGGAATCCAATAAAAGAAAACTTTTTTGCCACGAAGGGAAAGATTATGAAGAATTACTTTAATATCACTAATAATGGGATTTATTTTGACGCCAAAGTGAGGGTTGGAGATTGTGAGTAGTGCACTAAGACAATCTGAATATATAAAGATATTACTATATGAGTGCGTGGAAGCAAATTCCAGGGAGATTTTAATTGCTATGCTCTCTGCAGTAAAAGATGAAATAAATTTATTTAAACCTAAACGAGATGAAGCGTCCAGTTCAGGAGAAAGGAACGCAGCACCGACACGTTCCTGATCATGATCCCGACTCCCGTCAGTAAAGAAAGAAATGGAGTCGAGTGCTTTGGAGTTCCAGTGGTCCATAAATGTGATATTGGGCTTAGGAGAGTTTTTAATTAGGGCTCCAAGCTCAATGTCCAGCTTAGCTCCTGAGCATAAAACATTATAACTCATAGTATAGGAACGAAAGTTAGTTTCGAGCCAGAGGAAATCTTTAAGGGGGAGAAACGAATTAATTTGAGATGGAATCATCGAAAGGGATTTTTGAAGTATGTTATTCCAATGTGGGGATGTATGGAGTCCGGTTATTACTTTATATAGATCACCCTCTCTGTAAGATAACTTGGTGGCGAGGAATTTATTGCACAAGAACGCTGCCCTATCCTGAAGGAACCATAACTTGGATTCTGCAAGGAGGATGTTAGTCGGAGTACTAATTCTGTACCCTAAAGCGATACGAATAGCTGCAAATTGAATTCTTTCAATCCGCAGAAGATGCGACTCGCGTTTAGGAAAGTATATAAAGCAATTATATTCAATAACTGAACGTATTAGGCTTTTGTATAGCATAATTAGTGTGCCTGGGTCAGATCCCCATCTAATACCGGAGACAAATTTAAGGACGTTAAGTCTCCGAAAACATTTATTCCGAACATGGTCAACGTGCTCTTTGAACGTGAATCGAAAGTCAAAAAAAATACCTAAGAATTTGACTGTCGGTTTCGATGTAATCACACAATTTTCTACCTTGAGAGTACAAGAACCAGGTAAAATTCCTTTTCTGTTGAATAAGATTAGAACCGTTTTTTCAGGGGAAAGGGATAGACCCAATAAGTTTAGCCTCTTACTGACTAGAAAGATCGCTCCTTCCATAGATTTTTTGGATACAATAGAGTTATTAGAGGGTGTAAACAGAGCGATATCATCTGCAAATTGAGAGATTCGAATATTGCTGTCTAAGTCCTGAGTAATGTCATTAACGTATATTAGGTAAAGCAAAGGACTGAGCACCCCACCTTGAGGAACTCCTTTGTAGACTTTGCGACTCACAAGCTGGTTAGAGTACTCAACAAATGAGACATTGCGCTCATAAGTTAGGAATTCGGCGAACTTACAAATGAGGGGAGAACAGCCTAGTTGAACAAGCTTGGAAATGAGGATATCAGGGAGAACATGATCAAATGCACCCTTTACGTCTAGGAAGCAAGCAAGGACTTCTTCTTTATTGGCAAAAGCTTCTTCAATAGTCAAGGCAAGGAGTGTAAGATTGTCAGCACAGGATCTACCCGCTCTGAAACCAGCTTGTGAGGAGGGAAAAAACCTCATGAACTCCAACCACCATTGCAACCTGTGCTTAATCATTTTCTCAAAAATTTTACACATACAGGATGTGAGGGAAATAGGACGTACACCAACACCATCACTTTTGTCAATAAAAAAGGTAGTACTGTCTTTCCAAGATAAGGGAAATCTGCTATTTATATATATATCATTATAAATATCCAGCAAAATAAGTTTAATTTTGAAAGGGAGCTGCGTTATGAAAGAATACTCAATTTTATCGGGACCAGGGGATGCTTTAGGGCTGCAAGAGAGCATAGTCGAACTCCACCAGGGTGAAAGGTGAACCAAATATAAGATCATTTTGATTTGAGTTACCGGAGAAGGTGTAAGGCTTGATAGGGACCCATGGTGGACTGATCTTAATGATTGCCTCATAGATTTTGGCAGAACGCATAGAAGAAGATCCCCTAGGGGGTTCAGTATTTGCCCATTTATTCTTGAGAAGCCTACATTTTTTCCACACATAGGACGGATCCGTATCAAGATTAATACTAGCAGCAAAGGTGCGAAAATCATCAACTTTGCGTTTTCTGATGTATCTCCTCGCCGCCGCTTTGCGTTTCTTAAATTCTATGAAATCACATAACTTTCGTGAGAATTTCCACTTTTTCAGAGCCGCTTTTCTGAGGCGGATGAGCTTTTCGCACTCTGTGTTCCACCACGGGGCAGGGTTCCTGTGCTGTCTGATATTTACACATTTGGGAGAGGGTGTGCTGTTTATAATAGCTTCCGTTATTATATTGACGAAGAAAGTATATTTGCTGATGGTATCAAGTGAGTCATATGAAGGGTTAAGGAATTTAGAATAAGATTGTTCCATTAAAGCGATATATTGAGTCCAATTTGTCTATTTGGATGACAGTCGTCGTTGTTCTTTGATGTAACGTGTTTTGTCGACTAGGAGGTTAATACTTACAGGGAGGTGATCTGACCCCCAGGTATCCTCTAGCACGTTGAGTTTGACCAGATCATAAAGGACAGGCAAGCAAAGAACGAGATCTATGTTAGATAAACTGCTTCGATGAAAGTCAATGTGTGTAAGTGTGTTATGGTTGACTAAAATTAAATCGGAGTCGTTTATGGAGTTTAGGAGCTTGATTCCATTGATATCGGTATGCGTACAGTTCCATACAGTATGATGGGAGTTAAAATCGCCAAAGATAAGACTGGGACCATGTGTATTTAGAGAGGAAAAAAACTGGCTCCATTCTGTCTGAGAAACAGAGCGACCAGGAACCCTGTAGCAGGCAGCAATGATTAAGGTAGTGGAGAGATCACATAATTTGATCACTCCTGTTTCCAGATTATCAGTAATACAGCAAAGGTTACTAATAGGCTCAAATTTTTGATTTTGCCTTACCAAAAAATAAGACCGCCTCCAAGTCTATGTGTTCTGTCAATTCTGTATGTGTGAAAACCGGAGAGATCAAATTTTTTAGGACTTTTAAGATTAGATTCTACGCCTATAAATATATCGACTTCCTCTAAGTGTTTATGTAGTTCCTCTTTACGACCGGAGATTCCTCTACAATTCCAGTACAGCATCTTTAGTCCATTTCTAGAGCAGAGGACACGATTTTGGCAGTTCATAAATGTGCAGATTAGAGTTGGATGTGAGGATTGATGGAAATGCCATCCTCTGATGAAAAGGAGCAATCGGTGTCACATTCTGGGTCCTGAGACGAGATAGGTTCTTCCTCGTCCTTTTCTTCAGTCCAGCTACCATGCAGTTCCAGTTTTTTAATAATTCGCGAGACTCTATTTTTGACGGATCTACTTGATATGCTGGGGTAAGTTTCACGCAACATTTTTGCTAGCGAGGAGAGGTTGTCCATATAAGATTGTGCCAGCTGCACAATGCCCGGATTCCCTTTGGCTTTAAGTATTAACTCCTTGTACTGTTCGTACTTTATAACATGCTCATCCGGACTTTGATTGAAGATTTGCTTAACTGCTTCTAGTGCGAGCTCTATTGTTTCAGACTCAACCTGATTCGTCGGAGCTAAACTTTTCTTCTGCCTTTTATATGGAGAAACAAGACGCTTTGTTGAGGTGGGAGCCACAAAGATGAAGTCTGCCTGTCTGTGGGGGAATTAGCATCCGATGGAATAGGCAATTGAATTTTATCTACAGTCTCAGATCCAGCATTTGTGGTACTGCTAGAACTTGTGGAAAGTGGTCTTTTAATGGAGATTCTGTTTTGAGAAGAGTCTCTGTATCCCTCGACTGGACCCGGTTGTTTCTCGTCACTCAAAGGAGGAAATGAAACTTCTTTGTTCGAGTTAAGCACATGGGCCGATAAGGAAGAGCTACCTATTTGTTGAGGTGAATCTGAAGTAGAGTTAGGACAATGTTTCGCCAGATGCCCTTCCTTCTTGCATTGAAAACACTTCAAATTGTCTGTAGAGATGTATACCCAGTAAGAAGTATTATCATAGCTTACTTGCAAATTCTCCGGTAACTTGTTTACGTCATCCGGATGAACGTATACCTGTCTGCGGAAGCTGAGAATGTGTGTGAATCCAGCTTCAGTGAATCCTACTTTTACGAAGGAAATGGGTGATACGGTTCTGATTCCCATTTGCTCGAAAATGTTCAATAATACAGCGTGCGGAATGATGGGGCACACGTTTGAAAGAATTACCCGTTTTGTTTTCATAATTAGAGGTCTAACAGAGAGTAACCGATCTTTGATAAATATGTTTGCGTTGCCCGACGCGAGTTTGTCAACAAGAGATTTGTCCGCAAGATATATACATACTCTATTGTTAGCGATCCTTGAAGCAAATCGAATATTAACCGGGTTTATAACTTTCCCCACTCCGAATATGTAGTCTTTTATGGTAATATCTTCGTATGCGTCCAGCACAATAGCATGTTCCTTTGTGGGGAAGTTATCTTTCTGGATGACACTGGCGTATGTAGATTCATGAGGAGTCCCATCTTGAGGAGCGTTAGCTTTATCCATTTTTTAAGAGAGAAATTCCTGTACACAGGAATTTATCTTTCGACCAGGAAGATATAAATGTCGCACCCAGCGTACTGGCATGCGACTTGCACGAATTCGAAATCACCACAGTAAACACTTCGTTTAGCCAGGAACACGCGAAACAGAGCAAGCGTCCTACTAGCACGAGTGTCAACACGCGACTGAACCAACACAATTGGCCCCAGAAATTTTACTACCATCCGTGTAAATAGTGGAGCAGTCACTGATCCCAAATGCATCAGTATTTTTATATCAGTACCCAGTTTGGTATCAATTGGAATTGAAGTTATGAAAGTTTTATAATCGTGACAATAGATATTAGTTTCACGAATGTTGGATGCATTGTGCTCTAGAGCAGACGTGGTGCATTACAGAGCAATCTGTGTTGTCTTGAGGTCCTTTTGCTTCTGTACAAATTATAATAAGTCTTAATGGCTCTGAGGGTGAGAAAGTTTCGGTTTGTTAAGATCTTGGCTATGAAACAGTAGCATAGCTGGGAAGCGCGCTCTTTAATCAGAGGCAGTTTTGATTCTCCTATCAAGATATTGAGTGGAGTAGTTTTACGGTAGCCTAAGGTAAGCCTGATCGCGATATTTTGAATGCTTTCTAATTTTGCAGTTAGGTATTTTTGAGAGGGGGAAAAAATAAGGAGCCATAATCTATGGTGGAGCGAATGAACCTTTTGTATAGCGTGATAAGCGTTTCAGGATCAGACCTCCACCATGTACCACGAAGATATTTGATTATATTGAGAGCTCTGGAACATTTCTTTATGACTAGATCAATATGCGTTTTAAACAGAAGTCTATAGTCAAAGACAATCCCTAAAAAGCGAACAGATTCACTAGAGACTATACTGCAATTACAGAGTTTAATTTGTGTAGTGCCCTGGCAATATTTTTTATTGTTAAAACGAATTAGTTTGGTTTTATGCGGAGTGAGAGTTAGCCCAATTTGGAGGGGGTTTTTGCTGATTATGTTTATGGCATGTGTTTAATATACTCTGGGCTCTTTTGACTGTTTTAAAATTTCACATATATTGCGATATCATCTGCCAATTGAATAACAGCAGATTTCTAGGACAACCTAAGTCCGCCAGTCTCGCCAATAAGATATTACAATCAACATTGTCGAATGCGCCCTGAACATCCAGAAAGGCAGCTAACACTTCACTTTTTTCCATAAAGGCTTCCTCAATTTTTATAGTCAAATTAACTAAATTATCAGAGCAGGATCTCCCCCTCCTGAAGCCTTATTGGCTAGGAGGAATAAGTAAATCATGTTCCGCCCACCACTGCATTCTGCCCTTGATCATGGACTTAAAAAGTTTACACGAACACGACGTTAGAGAGATGGGACGCAATCGTTGCCTTCTGCTTTATTTATAAAGTGAACAAAGGATTTTTTCCAGCTTAGGGGGAAATCATTCATGGCATACATGGAATTGAATATGTCTAGGAGAAGAAATTTGAATTTCAACGGAAGGTTTTTGAGAATTTCGTAATCTATACCATCCATACCGGATGCCGACTTAGAATTTTTAGAGTCAAGGCAATATTGAATTCCAGTAAATCAAATGGGTTGTCTAGAAATTCGTTTTGGTCACATAGAGGAAGCCATTCAGGGTTAGTTGGAACCCAAGGTGGACTAATCTTGTTTAAGGCTTGATCGCGTTCAATGCCTTGCTGTAAATTTTCAGAATTAGCGGAGGAGGTAACTCTAACCCACTTATTTTAAGAATTTTACATTGTCCCAGACATAACTTGGACTTGTGTGAAAACTAATACTTTCCGCCAATTTTTTAAAGCATTCTCTTTTCTTGTTTTTAAAGGTTTTCTTTGCTAATGCTGCGTATCTTTGTAGTTATTAGATCTTCTAAATTTCCGGTGTGTTCCCATTTTTAAAAGACCCCCGGCGAAGTCTCTTGATCTCGTCACACTCCGAGTCCCACCAAAAAACTGGATTCGAATATGGAGTTTGACCATAATTTGTTTTTCTTTGTCTTTTTCCTTTGGTAGGAGTGCTCGACCAATGGAATCAGTCACAACACCGGCAAAAAATTCATATCTTGAGTAAGGCTCTAATTGTGCATATTCTATGGTGCAAAATTGGAATACTGAGAATCTAGTTCGCATTTAAATTTATACCAATCGGTCTGATGTCTTCAACTTAAACGAATGTTTCTTATAGAAATATCTTTCTGTATCGTACGTAACTAAAAGGGGAAGGATCAGAACCCAAGGTTTCATCTCCCACAACAGCATTTACTCTTATCAGAAATATTTACAGTGAGAAGATTAAGTCAACATTGGATCTATTGTTCCTGTATAAATCCAGGTGTGTGAGAGAATTATTGTCACGCAAAAAGAGGTCATGAGCATCTATGGAATTTTTGTTTTCGTGGGGAAAATCTTCGAAAGACTCCCTCCCACCTCTTTGGGGAGAGGCGGGAGGGGTGTGTGGGATTCCCCGCGCCCATTATAACGGGCGCGGGACCTACCCACTAAAAACCCCACGGTGACCCTTCCGCACGATTTGGGAGGATACCGGGAATCGCTCGAAGTATACTTCCGGTATCCTCCCCGTGCCCGCGCTTTGCGCCCACCCGCGGGGGGACAAACGGTCCCCCCGGTAATCGCCCTGTCTCATAGCGGCAGGACGAGGCCACATCGTCCTGCCGCCATCCGTCCCGGGGCCGCGTCTAGTGGCGGCTGCGAGCCCCAACTCGCAACCGCCGCGACCCCTTTCTACCCCTCGGAGGCCGGCAGCTCATGGCCGCACCAGGCCACCGAGGGTGCCGCTCCGTGCGCCGGACCCGGACAGGAGGCACTGCCACCCCATCCGGTCCGACCCTACGCCGCCTGGCGGGAGGGGGCTCCTATCAGGACCCCCCTCCCAGCCTGGGTCATGCGCCACGCCGAGGGGGCCGCCCGCGTCGCCTGACGCCCAGGCGACGCTCTCTCGCCACCAAACGAGCGCGAGCCTCAGCACGCCGCTGACGCTCGCGCTCCCTTCCCGCGGTCTCCTTCTGCAACATTACGATTTCGCAGAAGGAGGCCACGGCCCTCCACTTCTCCTCGCTGCCGAGCATGGCGCGCACCATGCCCGGCAGCGAGACATCCCGCCCGATGACGCCGATCAGGACACGGCGTTCACCCTCCCATGCAGCGCATACCTCGAGGGTATGTTCCGCCGTGTCCTGCTCAGCGTCACAATGGCAGCAACGCGCCGTCGGCTCCTTCCCTATCCGGCACAGGTATCTCCCGAAGCTGCCATGCCCCGAGAACACCTGTGCCATCCTGTAAGTGAGGCTTCCATGGCCTCTGTCCAGCCACTCACATAGGAGTGGCCGAACAGCCCCGACTGTCCGGTGCCCCGCGGTAGGCAGAGCCAACCGCTCTTGCCACGCGTGCACCACGGACTGCCGGGCCTGGCGCTTCAACTCGCCCCAAGCAGGTTCCTGCACACCCGGGACCGCCCCCACCCCCGCGCGACGGTCGACGCGGTGACGATACATCATCGCGTGCGACCGCGCGAGGAGATCCATGGGCGGCATCCCCGCAAGAACCGTCGCCGCCTCATGTGACACGGTCCGGTACCCGCGGACGACCCTTAGAGCCATCCGCCTCTGCACCCGACGCAGCATAGTCATGCCGCGCCGGGAGGCCGCCAGGTCGTCCGCCCAGACGGGGGCCCCGTATAGGACCACCGACTGAACCATTGCCACATAGAGGCGGCGAACTCGGCCCGCCGGGCCCCCCAGGTTGGGCAGAATCCGGCCCAAAGCCCCGACCATCCTCTCCAGCCGGGGGACCAGGCAGCGGAAATGCTCCTCGAAGCGCCAGTGGCTATCGAGGATCAGCCCCAGATACCTCATCTGGGGCTTCACCTCGATATTAGCCTCACCCACGCGGATCAGAGGGGGTGGCGGATCCTGCCGAGGTGAATGGAACGCTATCACCTCGGTCTTATGGACCGCCACCGTCATCCCCATCCCTCTGATCCGGTCGACGACGCGTTGCGCCCCCTCCTCCGCGAGACGCTTGGCCCTCCCCCAGTGCGCCCCGACGGCCAGCACCAGTGTGTCATCTGCATAACACACGGCGCTGACGCCGTCGGGGAGGTCGGCCCGCAACACTGCGTCGTACGCGATGTTCCACAGGAGTGGCCCGAGGACCGACCCCTGCGGAACACCGCAGTACACCTCCCTCCGCATATGCCCATCCCGGCTCGGATACTCGATCCACCTGCCGCGGAGATAATCCCCGATGACCGCCCCGAGACAAGGGGGGACCCGATGATATTCGAGCCCCCTCCTTATCTCCTCCCAGGGCAGGGTGTTAAAGGCGTTGGCAATATCCAAGGATATTGCCAAAGCCACCCCTCCCCGGGAGACGGCCGACTCCGAGAGGGCCCTGACACGACCTATCGCGTCGATGGTCGATCGACCCTCCCGGAAACCGTACTGGCAGTCGGCCAGGCCGGGGGCACCCCGCGCCAGGTGCTCGACGAGGCGGGCAGCAATCACCCGCTCGAAGAGCTTGCCCACCTCGTCGAGGAGACAGATGGGCCGGTATGCGGAGGGAGACTCCGCGGGCCGACCCTCCTTCCGGAGGAGGACCATCCTCGCCACCTTCCAACTGGGGGGGAATCGCCCGTCCCTCAGGCATCGGTCGAACAACCGCCTGAGGTCAGCCCCAAGGACGCCCTGGGTCAAGACCCAAACCCGGCCGGGCACACCATCCGGACCCGGGGCCGTGTTACGCGCCCCGAGCCGTCTGATGGCCGCGGCCAGCTCCCCCTGAGTGACCCCCAGTTCGGCCGCCCACTCCCTTGGGACTGCCGCCTCCGCCGGAGGACGTGGTCCCCTCACCCGAATTGGGAAAAGAGTATTGACCACGTCCTCCAGCAGCCGGGGGTCAAGACCCTCGGTGACGGGGGGCGCCCACGGGCGGAGCTTCTTCAGCACCACCCTGTACGGGCGCCCCCAAGGATCGTCATCGAGGGTCTGGAGGAGATCCTTCCATGCCCGGGTCTTGGCCCGTTTGATGGCGACCTGCAGAGCAACCCGCGCCATCCGGTATGCCTCATACAGGTCATCTGCCCTCGCTCGCGCCACGCCATCGTCCGGTCGTAGACGACGGCGCGCGCGGGCGTACTGGCGTCGGGCGCGGACACTCGCGACCCGCAATTCCGCGATCGCGGCCGACCACCAGTACACCGCCCGGCGAGGAGAAGCTCGCCCGACCCGGGGCATCGACGCGTCGCAAATGTTTGCGACTAGTACCCCGAGCCGGGCAGCCTCCTCCTCCATGCTTGGCAACTCGGCCGCCACCTGCGGCCAAGTTGCAGCGAGGGCAGCTGCCATCAGGGCGTCCTTGTCCAGGCGCCGAAGCGCCCAGCGGCGCGGTGGGGTGCCATCCGGGCGGCGGTGCCGGGACGCAGCCCCGGCGGCAGAGACCTCCATCCGGATATACCGGTGATCGGAGAGTGTCTCTGCCTCCGGGGCCACCTGCCAACCCGACACCATGCGCACGGCGTTGGGGGTCGCGAATCCAACATCCACGATAGACCCCCCATATCGCCGCACGCACGTGTGCTCCGACCCCCGGTTCAGTAACCGAAGGTCGAGCCCCGCCGCCCAGTCGCCCAGGATCCCGCCGCGAACGGTGGTCCTAGGGGATCCCCAAGCCACCGACTTGGCGTTAAAGTCCCCCAGGACCAGCACCGGCCGGGCCGCGCAGCGCTGCACGCATGCCGCGACCTCGGCCAAGTACAGCTCGAACGCGGCGTGACCGCTGCGGGGCGAGATGTAGCACCCCACTACGGCGACTCCCCCCCAGTCCACGGCGACGAAACCCCGACCGCGCTCCAGAATGGAGAACGGCGGGGACCCGTCGCCACCTCCCCATACCGTCGCCACCAAACCGTCCGCGTCGCCCACCCAATGTGGGTGATCCGGCACGCGGTACGGCTCGGCGGCGACCGCCAGGCCAACCCCCCACTCCGCGAGGACTTGGGACATCATGTCCTGTGCCGCGCGGCAGTGGTTGAGATTGGCCTGGAGGAGGAGGCGGGGCGCCGTTATTTAACGGCCGTCCCAGCCTCCTCCCGGCTGTCCGTCCCCGTGGCACCGTCCACCTCCATGGTGGACGCTGCCAGCAACCGCGGTGCTTGAACCGGGGTGGGCCCCTTCTTCTTCCCCTTCCGGGAGGGGGGAGAGCACTTTTTGCTCCCCACCCTGTGATCGGCTGGCCTCCCCATGTCCGCACATAGCGGGCAGTGGGGGGCCGCCGAGCACTGGCTCGCGCGGTGGTCATTCGCCCCGCAGCGGTAACACTGACCGCTGCGGTCCACCGGCGAGGTGCACCACTGCCTCACGTGCCCCAACTCGAGGCAGCGGTGACACTAGAGTGGGCGCGGCGCGAGTATCTCCACTCGCGCCGAAACCCACCCCACCAATACCCTCCCGGATTCCGCCACCTTTCTAGCGGCGGAGAGGGGACACCGGGGCCACACCGACCCCAGGCCGGAAGGAGACCTCCACGCACCCGTTTGGTTGTCCAGGCGGCAGGGGAGGTGAACCCCTACGTGGCGCGTCCCCAGGTGGCGGATAGGGGCAGCCGCTGGGATGGGATGCGGGAATGAGGTCATCAACCTATGAAGGCTGGTGTCTGCATCCTCGCATAGCATCCCGGAGGTCGGAGCGAAAGCTCCCGCGGACCAAACACCGGTATGAATGTGTTGCGCGTGTGAATGTGTGTGTGAGTGGACTGGGGCATGGGGTATTTGCCGCGGGTTAAACCTAAGGCCGCAGGTTGGCCAGTTGGCTGCGGGTGTGTCCTGCGGCCAACATGGCCCCGCGGCCGGCGGCTTAGTCCCATGTCACGGGGCCGCGGGCGCTGGTGACCAGGCGCCTGCGGTTGAGTGGAAATGCGGTGGGAGGAGTGCCTCTCACCGGGAAGGGCCTGAAAAGGCACGGCGCGGCGGGGGACTCTGTGATGTCTCACTAGAGTTCCCGGTCCCTCGCCAAGCGCCTGAGGATGGTCACCGTGGGGTTTTAGCCGGTAAGAGTCCGGCACTACCCGCCGGCCCGCCCATCGGGTGGGCCCGCGGGTGTCCATGAGGATTTCCCCACGTACAGGTGTTCTCGGGGCATGGCAGCTTCGGGAGATACCTGTGCCGGATAGGGAAGGAGCCGACGGCGCGTTGCTGCCATTGTGACGCTGAGCAGGACACGGCGGAACATACCCTCGAGGTATGCGCTGCATGGGAGGGTGAGCGCCGTGTCCTGATCGGCGTCATCGGGCGGGATGTCTCGCTGCCGGGCATGGTGCGCGCCATGCTCGGCAGCGAGGAGAAGTGGAGGGCCGTGGCCTCCTTCTGCGAAATCGTAATGTTGCAGAAGGAGACCGCGGGAAGGGAGCGCGAGCGTCAGCGGCGCGCTGAGGCTCGCGCTCGTTTGGTGGCGAGAGAGCGTCGCCTGGGCGTCAGGCGACGCGGGCGGCCCCCTCGGCGTGGCGCATGACCCAGGCTGGGAGGGGGGTCCTGATAGGAGCCCCCTCCCGCCAGGCGGCGTAGGGTCGGACCGGATGGGGTGGCAGTGCCTCCTGTCCGGGTCCGGCGCACGGAGCGGCACCCTCGGTGGTCTGGTGCGGCCATTGGCTGCCGGTCGCCGAGGGGTAGAAACGGGGTCGCGGCGGTTGCGAGTTGGGGCTCGCAGCCGCCACTAGACGCGGCCCCGGGACGGATGGCGGCAGGACGAAGTGGCCTCGTCCTGCCGCTATGAGGACAAGGGATTACCGGGGGGACCCGGTAAAATAGGGGTAATCAAGACGGAGTTTCTAGACAGCTGAAATGCACGTGCGCGACTAGCGCGCACTTCACTTGGCTAGCTTCACTTAATTGTTACTAGCATTCAAATTTACTAGAAAACTCCGTCCCAACCCCGGAAATGGCTTCCTCACCAGAGCCTGCCCTTTCCGCCAGTACAGTCAAAGCACACCCACACAGAAACAACTACACCAATCATTCAGAACCAACGACACTCCTACAACGCGACACATTAGCCAATAAGAACATCCACCATCCATATAAATACCGACATCAGACCTGAAATAGACATTCCACGTACACAGTCGAAAAGTCAACTACGCTCGTTCAGTACATACATTCATTTATTCCAACTATTCCGATAGTAATAACTTACTCTTCGAAAGCGTCCTTTCGCGCCACTCCAATTTACCGGTCGCGAGAGTCCACGCAACAGTTATGTATTAAGTAGCATGTAAGAAATACAGTGATATAAACAATCAGCGAATACTGATTAAATTCCTGTTTACATTTTTAAATTGAAGTGTATTTGAAAAATTGATAACAGTTTTATTCGTAAGTAACTCGGAAGAATCGTGATACACGTACACGTAGACATTCACGAATAACATAATCGCGGTACGTGTTTATTTAATTGCATAGTGGTTAGTGCCTGAAAGGATTATTTGTGGATACTTGTGGACACTGTGGACAATCGTGGGGCGTGTATAATCGCATGTGGGTGATTTTTGTTCACAACATTGTGTATTGGAACTGGCATTCACCCTTTCTCTGTGAAAATCTCGTCGGGCTAGTTTTGATATGCCCTTCTGGATTTTCATAAGACAGGTTGAATCTTATTCAACGTAAGGTGTTCGCATTCCATAAGTAGACAAAAATCTAAGGCTGTCGATAATGTCGGTAAACAGAATTTTCATGCTGCGTGAGAACCACTAGCACTCGCCTGCCGCAACCGTCCGCGCGAACGCAGCTGTTTAGCGGATTGCTCATTCTACAGGCGGAACTTTAAATGTTAATAACTTTGCAACGAAGCCTCCATCAACAAATTAGTATTCTTGATTTTCGTCTTATTTTGGCCTCTACTATCGCTCATGTACAAATTTCATTTTGTTTGTTTTACTTGCTATAGATAGCGAACACCCTGTAGATATGGAGTGCGCGGTCGCCAGATCTCTCTCTCTCTCTGCACCACGCTCTCTCTTCTGCTATGAGGCGTAAAAGTGCAACAAATGTACAATAATTTTTTTGTTCTATTAATTAATGTTCCAAATAGTTGTTTATTTGTGTTACCATAAATGTAAAAGATAATATATTCTTATTTCAAACTAGTGCTCGTGCAATACGGTGTGATTTGTTTCACCATAAAACCCAACACTATCGCTGTGCTTCGATTCTCTTTTGGAGTGGCGTCTTTGTTAATTTAGTAGTTGGTGGAGGACTTAACTTTCAGAAGAACCGATAGTGGAACACATCTAAGTCCACAGAGCCACCATCCTGAATATCTAAACGATGTAGACACGTTATCGTTTACTATATCCACTTTTTCTTTCTTTTCATGTATTATCAATAACACGGTTCAACACACACTGTAATTGGTTTTTTCCGTACCACTAGGTGATTCTTGTAGAGCTCTGTTTCCTAAACACGAATGTGAAAATGGAATTGCTGTATCACCCTCAGTTTTTGAAAAACACGAGTTTTTGTGAAAACGTCCAATTTTTGGCAAAAACGAGGTATTACGCGAAAATTAAAAACATCAGACAGTTCCACTTAATCTTAAAAGATAGAGGAGAGATTTCTGAATATGCTAACATCGATAGTTATAATATTTTGTGCTTTTGCTTTTTTGGTTGTAAATGATCGCCAAAGTTTGAAAAAGTGTCGAAGTACGTACTTTATACACAATACTTTTGCATATTTACGAAAAGTTCTTTACCTGACACGAAATTTATACACAGGATCTGATTCTGCAGACATTTCTCAAGAAGAAACTGTCCAACAGAAGTGTAGAAGCCGTTCTCAATTGTCACAGGTCGACAAAATGTGTGTTGGGAACGCGTGCAGGATGTTTTACCGCCACACGGCCATCGCTAGCCTACCTCGGCTCGGCAGTGCCGTAGCTACCTACAAGCGAAACTGGTATAATGGTGCAATAGGGTATTCACTCTGTATACAGGGTGCTCGGCCACCCGTGGGAAAAATTTTAGTGGGGGATTCTAGAGGCCAAAATAAGACGAAAATTAAGAATATTAATTTGTTGATGGAGGCTTCGTTAAAAAGTTATTAACAATTAAATTCCAAAGTTTCAAATCGTGCCGGAAAAATTATTTTAGGTTGCAGGGTCAATTATAATCAGTTTTGGTGAATAGACATACCCTCGAAATCCTGCGCATTTTCTAGAAAAAAATTCGAGAAGATGCTGAAATTTTTCGACGAAAATTAAAAAATTTCAAATCGTCGTGGAAAAATTATTTTTAGTTGCAGGAGTCAATTACTATCATTTTTTTTCATTAGACATACCCTCAAAATCCTATCCACTTTCGCGAAAAAAATTTGAGAATGTGTGAAATGTTTCGACGGGAGAAAAAAATTTCGAATCGTTCTGAAAATATTATTTTCAGTTCCGAGGGTCGATTACAATAATTTTTGGTGAATAGACATACCCTCGAAATTCTGCGCATTTTCTAGAAAAAATTCGAGAAAATGCTGAAATTTTCGGAAATTAAAAAATTCAAATCGTCGTGGAAAAATTATTTTTAGTTGCAGGAGTCAATTACTATCATTTTTTTTCATTAGACATGTGAGCAATTGGGTGTGTTCACACGACGATGCACGGACATTTTAAGAACGTGTCTTTCGGCGCCTACTTGTACCCATATAGGCATTATCCTCATCTGTTCTTGTTACTGTTGGTAACTACTGTTTATTCAACCGTGTGTGTTACATGTCGCATTTCCGACGATCTGTTATGTATTTATGGCGTATATTATATCGAGCTTTTAATAAATATTCCTTTAACTGCGTTTAAATAACCAACAGGTTATGGGCCCAGACGGAAGGATATAAAAAAATAAATATAAAAAAAAAGCTCGGAAATATAAGAGTTAAAATCGATCGTTATTTGAGTGCGCGTCGAAAAGTTAAAATTGATCGTTATTGAGTGCGCGTCAAAATTACGTGTGGTGCATCGAAAGCGAGAAGATGAGTACGCCGAGCTTCGTCCGAATTGAAACCTTGAACAAGGACAATTTTGATACTTGGAAAATGCAAATGGAAGCATTGC